TCCCCACCACCACCGCCCGTACACCCGTGGCCCTTGGCCGGCCGCGCCTTCCTCATCCTTGTGGTACACGCGCTGTCTCCCCACGTCGGCCTGCCTACGGGATCCGCGCCGCTGCTGGATGCCTCGCACGGGGTCGCGTGCTGCGGGCGCGGCGCTCCCTTGCGTTGTCCTCCGCGCCAGCTAGCGGTGATGCCTTCCTGGCTCGCAGAGGGGGCTTATCTGGAGGGGCCCGCGCCGCCCCCCCCTATCCTCCATCGCCCCTAGCGACGCTGTGCGTCTGCCTCTAAGCAGACAGCTGCGACTTGTCAGCCCGCCCACGGCCGGCCGCTCGTCCGCCTCGCCGCGCGTCCTTGCCCCTTGCCGCACCCACCCGCGCGCTCGCTTCCCCTATCCTAAACCGCTCCCGCCCGCCTTAGCGGCAATGACGAATGCGGAAGAAATCATAACGCTGACTCAGTTGCTGGAAAGCGCGCCCCTCCCCTGCTCCCGTCCACCCCCTTCGGCGCGCCTCCCTCGCGCTACTTAAAGAGCTGCGGTCGATTTCGAAGAGGGCCGAGGAAGACTCTGCATTCTTTCATCGCGCCCCCAGACGGTCGCGTTCTACGTAGGCAGCAGGGTACATGCAGCCATTTCTACTGGCCCACTTCCGTGTCTTGCCACCAGTGTGGGGGCGCATGGAATTGCCACGAGATAGTAGGAAAAGCATTTTAAATGTCTGGAAATGACGCTTTGCAGAAAATCGCATGGACGTACTTGTAAGTTATATTGACAGCAATCGACAAAGCGGTTTCTATATTATAGTGATTTCCCCATATGAACTGCACCGGATCACCTGGACAGAGAAAGCGCCGCCGGCACCAGTGCTGGGCATTTACCTTGCCTGGCTTTCGAGTCAGTTGAGGAGTGTTGCGGGCGGGAGGCGGGGCGGGGCGATGGGGCAGGCGGGGCGGGGCAGGCGGGGCGGGGCAGGCGGGGGCGGGGCAGACCGGGGCAGGGCGGGCGTGCGGGGCGGGGCGGGGCGAGCGGGGCGGGGTCGGGCACGAGCGCATCCCGTTCGCGCTCGAAGGGGGCGGGCGTGCGGGACGCGAACGGGGAGGGAGGGGGAGGCAGCGAGGGCGCTGAAAGAGCCCGGATAATCGCAGGAGGGGCACTGGCGCCGATACATGCGACATGGCCTCGGCCGCCGGAGGGCGGAAGCGGGCGGAACGAGCGCGGATTAATACTTGGGGTGCGGGGATGTCTGGCGGGTGGTCGGCTCTCCGCCCCCTCCCGCCGCACTCGAAAGGCGCAGCGCCGGGCGCCATCCAGTGCGTTTTTACGCAGCAGACGCACGAGAACGTTCCATGATTTGCGCCAATGCCATGTCGCCAGGATCCAGTTGAAACTGGTTTCGTTAGTTATACTAGGGGCGGATTTTGATGACCTAAAACATCTCCGAACAATCTATAAAATGTTTTGAATATGTTTCGGAAAATGCAAATTAAAAAACAGATAAAACATTAGTCAGCAGTCTGTTCTTAGAAAAAGTCAAGCGTTGGGTATGTTTCTTTTGTAATTCGAGGCTTCTTTACTTTTCGTTCTACTGGAATAAGCTTGGAGGCTTTGGTTAGCACAGTTGTTTACAGAAATCTGGGGGCGAAAGGCGGAGGAGAGATCCCCACGTCGATAATTGTCACTTCCCGCCCCTCCCCGCCCCGCGCTGCGCGACTCTAATTGAATCATGTGTACGAGCAAATGGAAACATGGCGATAAAAATCCGCGTCCGCCCCTGCCAGACACTCATTCACATACTCTGCCCCCATCTGTCACGCGGAGGCGGTGACTTCGTGTAACGATAGGTCCAAACACTAATACTTTTATTGTTCTTTCTCTGGGAAATGCACGTTGCCAAACGCTTAAATCCCTCATTTAAACAAACTCAACTCCTAATTATCAGGAACACTGAAATTTTGTACAAGAAAATGTCAAGGAGTTTTGCTATTCATATAATTTAAAAATAAGATTACGGAATGGGTACTATTCCAAACAGTAAATGGAAAATTCACTATAAAACGCATTTGTCACATTTCTATTTTATCGAAGTTATCAGTATTTTATATGAAGTTATGCTTTTTAAAAAATGGAATTTTGAACATGACGCCCATATTACACAACTTATATAATAATAATATAGTAATATAATAATAATAATAATAATAATAATAATAATTGTCAATAACTGTTTATTGTCAAATTCAGCTCAAGTCCTTCAATTAAAATCTAGTATTTGCGACAACACAATTTTCATCATATTACCAAAGTCGTTTCCATTTCTTGATTTTTAAAATGACTTATCGAATGCCAAAACACAAACTCTTCGGCAAGAACTATCAACTGAAAAGCCAAACGAGTTCAAACACCACATCCTTAACAATAGACACATTAAGAAACAGCTTTCACTATCCAGAGGAGGAATATAGAATTTCAAATCCGCACCTCTGAGAGTAAGTCGAAGACGAATGAAGTGCGACTGCGCGGCGAAATCTCCGAAACCCCGAAGATCCCTAACAAAGGCTTCGCCCCGTTAGCGGCCTGCAGCCCGCCCTCCTCGGGGCTTCCTCCAGGCTGCCTGCCTGCAGCTGCATCGATTTTCTCTAATCCGCTGAAGGGGCACTTTCGCCCGGCCCTTCTTCCCTCCCCCCCCCCTGCAACGCGGATTCTCACT